ACCCAGAGGGATTGGGTGGAGAGGGAGGTGGGAGGGGGGATCGGGATGGGGAATACATGTAAATCCATGGCTAATTCATGTCAATGTATGACAAAAACCACTACAATACTGTAAAGTAATTAGCCTCCAACTAATAAAAATAAATGAAAAAAAGAAAAAAAATGGGAGGCATATTCAGATAATGGAATATGATACAGCAGTGCAATGAAAGAATGAGAACCGTTAAATATAATTATCAATAAATCTGATTAATTTAATACTAAGCAAAACAAGCAAGCTGCAGAAGAATACATCCAGTATGGTATCATTTGCATAAACTTTTTAAACATGTAAAACAATACTACATATTATTTAGGGATACACTTATACATGATGAATAAAGTATAAAAATATGCTCAGGGAAAAAGGAAAAAGATCACAGAAGAGTATGAAAAAGTAAAATGGATAGACCAAGTAAACAGCTAGATAGTTAAATCGTTAAAAGTTGCCCATCTTCAAAATTAAACTATTGCCTCTCAGGGAAGCTTCCCTGGTGGCTCAGATGGTAAAGAATCTGCCTGCAATGCAGGAGAACTGGGTTCAATCCCTGGGTTGGCAAGATCCCCTGGAGGAGGGAATGGCTACCCACTTCAGTATTCTTGCCTGGAGAATTCCATGAACAGAGGAACCTGGAGGTCGCAAAGAGTTAGACACGACTGAGCAACTAACACTTTCTCAGGGCAGCAACTCCCTTCTAGACACGAGGCTGAAGACAGAGGCTCAGCCTGCCAGCCAGAGACTAAAGCAGCCAATCTGAGATGAGTCTTCAAAGCCAACAGCACTCATCTTTCAAAACTGTTCCATTTAGTAATCAACTACACTGAGTATCTATTTTAACTAAGTAATGAAATTCAGAACATGGACCCAAAAAATGCAACAGGTAGTTGTGGGTGGATGAGATGTCATAGCAGATGCCCCAAACACAGCCATGTGCCAGTAAGGTTGAGTCACTGTGATGTGCTGAAAAAAGATATTAAGGCTCAGCTGCCACAGGTTGCAGTGAGTCCTCCCCTGCTTTCCTCTCAGGCATCATTCCAGGATGTGGAACACTTAGACATCTTTGAGATTAGTAAATCACTAAAAAAAGACGAAATATGGCATCTTACAAATAACACATGCTTGTGATCAAATTAACATAGGGTAGAGAGCTAATAAACGTTCAGTAGGCTCATGGAATAATTCCCTAACATTAAAAATTCAGCCCCTCCAGGTCTCAATATAAATTTCACCTAGAAGAGTAAGCCCAGTACTGTAACACACTTGACTGTAAGCTCTAAAACCAACTCATTTGTCAGGGAATGTCATTTAAAAGGATTATGCATAACAGAATTTAAGCGATCAACTCTCAGACCAACAAACATGCTCTGAATCCCAAGTCCAAACTACTCTGATCCCCAAACAGAGCAACTTCTCTGGGAAAACAGCTAATGCATTCATTCATTCAACCTTTACTTACTACATTAGAAAGACACCATGGTAGAACTTACAGAGGCATTCAGTTCAGTTCAGTTCAGTCGCTCAGTTGTGTCTGACTCTTTGCAACCCCACGAACTGCAGCACGTCAGGCCTCCCTGTCCATCACCAACTCCCGGAGTCCACCCAAACCCATGTCCATTGAGTCGGGGATGCCATCCAACCATCTCATCCTCTGTCGTCCCTTTCTCCTGCCCTCAATCTTTCCCAACATCAGGGTCTTTTCAAATGAGTCAGCTCTTCCCATCAGGTGGCCAAAGTATTGGAGTTTCAGCTGCAACATCAGTCCTTCCAATGAACACCCAGGACTGATCTCCTGTAGGATGGACTGGTTGGATCTCCTTGCAGTCCAAGGGACTTGTTTCTCATGATGTACTCTGCATATAAGTTAAATAAGCAGGGTGACAATACACAGCCTTGACGTACTCCTTTTCCTATTTGGAACCAGTCTGTTGCTTCACGTCCAGTTCTAACTGTTGCTTCCTGATCTGCATACAGGTTTCTCAAGGCATAAAAATATTTTTTGTTTTTATACAGAGGCATAAAAACATTTTAAACAAGAATCCTGTCCTTGATACTGACAGCCTAGCAATGGAGTTTGGAAACACACATAATCTTACATAAGTTAGAGAGATTTAGTTGCCATAAGAGAAATAAAAGTGAATTGCTATTTAAAAAAAACAACTTACTTTGCATAGGTTCTTGCCTATCTAGTCCTTCTGTGAGTCAGACCTAGAATACAGAAACCCTGGTACCTCATCTCTTCAAGGACAAGTAGCTATATATGGTAACAATACTGGCTCCTGTGATCTATAAAAATCAGTCTCCTCATTTTAAACATTTGAGTTAAGAGAAATTCCAAACATGGATCCCAATTCTCATAACGGACTAAAAAGTGAAAGTGTCTGTCACTCAGTCATGTCCAACTCTTTGTGACCCCATGGACTCTAGCCCTCCAGGCTCCTCTGTCTATGGAATTCTCCAGGCAAGAATACTGGAGGGAGCAGCCATCTTCTTTTCCGGGGGATCTTCCAGACACAAGGATTGAACCCAGATCGCCTGCATTGCAGGTAGATTCTTTACCATTTGTTTGAGCCACCAGATGGCTGCTGGTCTAAAAGAAAGGGAAAAGCCAAAAGCAACACACCAAAAAAAAAAATTATTTTCTCTAACTCTGTCATTGTTTTGCTATAGAAACTTCTGGAATTCATACTTTGGTTGAAACACTGAGGAAAGAATTGTTAATGAGCTTCAAAAGAACTTTCATGAATCTTTCAGTTAAATACTACACAAAAGGCATCAATAATGCTCTAGATTAATGAGGCTTTTCACATCATTTTATCTGTAGCGGGTTTGTTAATGTAGGTAGAGATAATTTTATTTCTTTTCTAAATCTAAAGTAAACTCCATAAATACTACAAGTCATTAAACACCCTTTCCAGTATTTTTCACAGAGTTAGTCCAGACAGGGCCAGGTCTAGTCGATTCATTTCAAATTAATCATCAGATCCACTATTTGCACCTGAACACTCAACTAAACATTCAGGAATTTGGGAGCACCCAAGAGGAAGTCTACAAAGAAGAAGTAAAGTGACTTTATCTGGATGAATCCAACTGTTCTCTCAGGATACCAACAAAAGTGTAAGAAGTTCAGGTTTATGTGTTTACATCATCTTACATAAACCAGTTCCCAGTCCTCTGCCATCAGTCCTGTCACGTCTTCAATATCTCTGAGGAGAGTATTTGTGACAAACTGGAGAAGGAAGATATTTTTCCATGTCCTGTCCATTCAAGCCAGTAAATAACCTGGGTACACAAGTTTGTCTTTTTAGTGACAACTTTAATGAGAGAGAATTCACAAACCATAAAATTCACCTTTACAGGTGCACAAATCAGTCATTTTTAGTATATTTAGAGAGTCGTGTAACCATTACCACTAATTTTAGAACATTTTCATCACCTCAAAAAGAAACCCATACCCAATGATTACTTAAAAAGCATCCTACCATTCCAACGAAATGTCCAACTAACCTATTCTTCTCTATCTTACCAGTTTTATCCAGGTCTTCAGCTTAGTCAGAAAATAGCAAGATTTGTAGAAAGTAAAAATAAAAGAGCTTTTAAAAGAAGAACTAATCAAGAATGTAGTATCTCTAGAAAGAAAATGTTTGAAAAATGATAGGGATATGCTCAAAAGACAACTTGACAGAGCTCCCAATGATAAAGGCTAGAACAACTGAGCAAAAAAATAAAATAAGTGAACACAGTTCATTGAGGATTACAACTCAAATAAAATAAATTCCTCAAAATTCATAATGATATAAATAAACAAATAAATAATTGGCAGGGAAGGGGTAATGCTTCTTTATAGAAGAATTAAATGACTAAGTGTAGGAAGAAAAGGGAAATTAAAAATCACTCTTATCCAAGAACCACAGTAACAATTATTGTAGGCAAGAACCATTAATGGAGGTTGAAATTAATGGACAAAAGTAAGATGAGAAACAGAATATCTGCACAATGTCAAACACACTGCACAATGTACTTACTAATTACAAAGGGAAAATCAGTTTCACAGTGGCAAAACCTGATACACACAACCTTAATGATGTACTGAAAATCATACATCCCTTCTGTAACAACGAGGGCGGGTATCAGAGTGAGTAGTTCTCACTCTGATAAAGGAAAAACATTAGACAAACCCACATTGAGCAATATTTTGCAAAGTAACTAACCAATGCTACCTTTAAAAGCTTCAAAACCATGGAAGACAATGAAAGACAAGAACTGTCACAGATTTGGAAGATAAGGAAGACATGACAACTAAATGCAATCTGTATCATGGATTGGATTCTGGACTAAAAAACGACATTAACAGGAAAACTGGTAAAATTCAAATAAGACTTATAGAACAATTATCAGCATGTAACAGCATTAATTTTCTGTAGCATTTTTGCAATTATTCTTTAAGTAAATCTATTTCAAAATAAAAAGTTGAGTTTTTTTAATGCAACATTTTTAGGCATGAAATATTACTGTTTCAACTTCATTGTGAAAAATGACTCATTTGGGGCTACCAATTATAATTTTCCTATTAGGAGAGACTATCTAATAATGTCAGATTCACAATCTCAAATCCCAACTCTTACAGTGCATACTGAATTGCAGAACACAGAACAAGAAAACAAGTCAATGATGAAAAACACACTAGCTAAAAACCACATAGCACACTGTTAACAAAGAGGTATGCCTTAATCATACACATACACACACACACACACACACACACACACACACCATTCTGATCATGAAGCAATGGCCCACAGCACAACTAAATAACCTAAAACATAAAATGTCAAGAACTGGACAAAACCAATTGAACACATGATAAGGGCATGACTTGATGAATTTCTGTGGTGTTCAACTTTTACAAGCCTGGTGAGAAAGGTCTGTTATGAGGAAATGGATGAATTGGTTCTGGTACATACCCCGATTTCAAGTCAGTTATCCTCAAACAGTTTGTAGCATCCAGTCCCACTTTCCCATTACGGACCACGCTAGATATGAACGGGGAGAGCATTGGAGAAATTCGGTTCAAGGCCACTTCTGGAGACATTTTAACCTGCCTTGCAAATTGCCCCTGAAAGAAGAAGGAAAGAATGATGATCAGAATATCCAAATCAGAATATCCAAATTGTTAGATATAACAATCTTCCTGGAAACTGGCACAGTACACAGAAGTGTCTCCTGCTTGATACCTCATCTCCTGTCTTATGGCAGCCTCTTGCAGTGACCCTCCAAAAGCCTATCTCACTATTGCTCACCTACTCAAGACACAGACTTTTCAGGAGGAGCAGCAACCCCTTGAAATCTAATTGCCTCCCCCTTTTCAAAGCCAGTTTCTATGCTGCCACACTCTACTTAAAAGCTGCCCTACTCTGTCTTACAACTGGCAGGTCCTTCCTTCTCAAGAAGGGTTTACTGACAATCTTCTCCCCCAACACACAAAACACACACACTGCTAGGTTAGGAGTCCCCCCCCACTCTGTGTCCCCACAAAGAGTAAGAACTTGACTGATAAAACTGCAAAATTTCAGAAGAAGCAAATCTACTTGCAATTATTACTTACAAGTTATTTACTTGTAGGTGTATTTACTGGTACACCTCTTTCTTATTTCCCCTCCACAGTATAATTACCTGCTTACTGATCTCTTTCCTGCAGAACTGTCTTGACTCTCCAGTGTTTAACAGAAGTATCTAATACACCATAAGCACCAAGAAGCATCTTTTAATAAAGACGAATAAGGAGACAAGAACTAGAGAAATATTTGGGTATGAAGAAAAGATATTATGCCCTCAAAAAATCTGGTAGAAAATAGCATATCTGAGATGTAGCAAAAATCTATGTAACCATTAAATCATGAAAACACATACCTATCTAAGCAGCGCAAACTATCATAGATCCAAAAGTTTTTGATTCTAAGGCACTAAGAAATTCTTAAACTTGAAAATACAAAAGTAAAACCAATAAATCATCTCTAAATTACTTGGAAACCCATGGGGCTGGAGGAGAGAATACATGAATTCCTCTTAATAGATTTCTAAATGAAAGCCTCCACTTTCAGAGGTGAATAAGTCAATTTAAATGATCATTTTCTTCCTCAATCTGAAAGGATAATCCCACATCAAAAGTAAATTAATTTCCTGCAAGTTACGGTTGCAAGTAAATGATGTGCTCATTCTGGTTTCCATATACTATGCCATATGAGGATTTACAGCTCCCTGCTAAATGCTGAAAACTAGTACCCATTTTAAACATTTCAGAGTAGTAATAAAGGGCAAAAAAATAAATAGCAATCATAAAAACAAATAATAACAAAAAAAAAACCCACTGTGACCCTACATACTGCTGACACCCAAAAGTACCTCTGAAGTAGAAAAAGCTTGATACTTTAGTATTCAAATCATCTTTTCTACAAATATAAAACAAGGTCCTCTTCTAACCACTTAACAGATGGCTTCCCACCACCATTCCAACATGTCATCACAAAATAAGAATAAACATCTAATGCACTGTATTATCAGTCATAAAAATCAAGTACATTTATAATATTTTATCACTTATAAAGAGCTTCCATAAACATTAGTGCACTTGACCTCCACAATTCTGGATGGTAAGCCATATATTAGAATTCCCATTTTACAGATGACATAGATAACTTTTATAATTTGTCTTTGAACAGTATACTAGACCATATTATCACTTTGAAGTCTATTTTTTTCCTATTTCTGCAACATTTCCACTTTTATTTCTGCTCACTGATGTCACAGTTCTTGAAAGGATGCTTATCTAGATCATATGCAAAAGAGAAATACTCATTTTGGAAAAAAGCAAAAGGACCTTACCTACACTACAAAATTATTCTTCTATGTATTTTCCCACAATACCTATTATTATTTCATCTCTCATTTCTATGAAAAACGGAAACAGAACCAATACATTCTCAAAATCTACTGAATATCAGGCACTATATTACCCATCTCTAGCTTCAATTTCATTTACTTCTCAACAACTACCTCATCCTCTGTTTAATATTATTGTTCCCATTTCAAAGATAAGAAAACTAATGTTGAGCAAGACTAAGTAACTCACTCAAAGTCACAAACCTAGCAAGCAGAAGCATTGGAATTCAAATCCAGATCTCCCTCAAAGTCCACTATACCTATCTTCTTCTCAAATAAACACCAAAGAGAAAAGCATCAAAGTGAATTTGTTTTTTTTAAAGCATACATCTAGTAAAACGAACAAAACAGTCATGAATTTAGACTAACGGTTGCTTGACAACTAGAAACAAATTAGACTAATGTTGGCCTAATGCTGAAGCTGGCCTAAGTGATTCACTAAGTAAAATGCTAGGGGGAACAAACCTGCTCCAGAAACCAAACTATACTTAAGGTGACAACAACCCATCCAATTCAGCAACTGTCATGACCTTAGAATGACACCTGAAGGAATGAATTTGTCTTTGTTTCCTGAACAGCCATAATACAATCTTTTGACAGTGCAAGATTTTATGCAGCATTAAAATGTTACAAGCACAGCTGCTGTGATTTCTCTAGACAAGGGGTGGGGGGGGGGGGGGGGGGACCTGACTCCAAATTCGGAGGTCACCGAATAGCTAAAAATGACAGTTCTTTGGCTTCTGAGCGGGGTACACAGATGGGGGATGATCTCCCAGTAGTACTTTTTACACAAAAAAGCACAATAATCAATCCCAGATAGGCAAAAATTTACTGTGGCCCGTTTCCCTTGAAAGCTAGTTGCGAAATTTCTATTTCCTGATTTTGACGTGTAATATACAGAAGGAAATGCAGAAATACAATTTACAGAGCTTTACAATTTACAGAGCTTTGCTGCCTCAAGATAGGGTCACATGAGGTACTTCGATGGGCAGTCTGGGGAATACAAACACGTCTAAAGCATCATCTACCTTCTCGCAATTAAGATGGGATGACAAACACGGAAACACGTGCCCAGCTTACGTCATGGAACGGAAAGGGGTGGCGTCCTGCTGCGTCACGTCGACGTCATACGGCGCACGAGGGAAGTACACAAGGGAAGTAATTTCTCCAAGGGGCAGCATTCAAGAAAAACAATCAGCTCGAACCCAAAGAATGACCACACCGCTCTAAAAGGGGACACCTTCTCCCAAACTGTATGATCCCCTAATCAGAAAGGAAAAAGCAAAGAGTCTTGAGCTTAATCAGGGACCGGGGGCGGGCTAGGTGTGGAGAGAGAGCAGCCTCTGGCCTTGGGGGCTTGTTCTTGAGGGGACCAGCGTGATGGGAATGAGTAGGGCATCTTTGGGACAGGGGCCTTCTCTATAGGAAGAGAAGGCGAGCCCTGGGCATATGTAAAACCACGGTCCTCAGCGCCACCTGTGCAACTCGGGATCCAACCTCCCCGCACCAGCCCCAGTCCAGGTACCTGGAACTTAAGTCGGATCGGTAACCGGCGACTACGTGGGGTACAGGTTACCCGAGCGCGCCCCCGACCGACGCACCAACCTGCGCGCGCACCGCGGGCCGGATGCGTGCGCGTCCCCGGACGTCCCGCCCCGCCCCGCCCCCTCGGCGGCCCTGGAGCCGGGCGGCGTGCGCGTCCCCGGCCGCGCCAGGCCGGGCTCTCGGAAGGGCGTCCCCCGAGTGCCTGAAAGTTCCTGCCTCCGCGCCTACCTCTTGGCGCGGCGAGCTGCGCGGAGTCTGGAACTCGTAGGATGCCTCTGCTGCGAGAGGCTGTGCAGGAAGACAATTCCTGGAGGAACTAGGGACAGTTGGTGAATGGGGTTATTTCGGGCATCCAGGTGGGCGACCCACCGGGCGTCCGGAAGGCCCACGTCGTTAGGGAACGTGGGAGCAGCGTCCCTGGTTACGGGGTGGGGCAAAGGTTAAAGGGCAGCCTCCAGTTTGGACACTGCCGACTCTGAGCAATGGCCGCGTCTGGGGACCCTGGGAGGCAGTGGCAGGAGAAGGTGGCGGAGGCGGCGGTGGTGGTGGTGGGCTCCTGCATGACCGACCTGGTCAGGTTAGTTCGGGGCCAGCGTGCAGAGGCTGCGCCTCCAGCGAGGGGCGGACTGTGCTCTCTTCTCTCTGCCTTGGCCCTAGGGCTTTGGGGATGGAGTGTTGACTTTGGATGGGAGCTACTCAGTCTGTAAAGAATCTGCCCGCAGTGCGGGAGACCCGGATTCGATCCCTTGATCGGGAAGATCCCCAGGAGAAAGGAATGGCTACCCACTCCAGTATTCTTGCCTGGAGAATTGCATAGACAGAGGAGCCTGGCGAGCTACGGTCTATGGGGTCACAAAGACTCGGACACAACTGGGCGACTAACCCACAGATTTCCCCAGCCCGCTGCGCATGCCTCGATAGGGTAGAAGAGGCAGGTTTGAGTTTGTAGAGGTCATTGTCAGATGAGGGAACTTAAAAGCCAGCGTGTAGTGAAAGCTGTCCTTTAACTAGCAGCGCCTCCAAAGACCTGCTCCTGTTTTCTTGACTAGGATGCTAAACCTGTTCCCTGGCTAGCCGAGTGACTTTAGCCGAGTCATTTTACCTCTGAGAATGTGCCCACTTAACAGGGTTGTTTTCAACACTAAATGGAGGAAAGTGTTTTGAGCTGTGAATGTGTAGAAAATGGGTGGAGCCGAGGCCAAAATTTTAGGCGGTCATCTTTCACCATATTGATTGTCAGCTTTCTTGCATTTCATATTTACAGCTTATTTTTCAGTGTTAGAGTAACCATAGGTTACCTATGGCAAACCAAATGTGAATCAAGTTAAAAACCCAGTATATACAACCATTTAAAAAAGTGATTGAATAAACAAAATATGCTAGATGAAAATAGTTGAGTTAGGGCAGTGAGATTGGATGGAGAGATCTTTCCAAGATATCTTTTCTTTTAAGTGAAATCGCCTTTTTTATTGTAAAAGTAATGTTTATTTATTTTAAAGGAAAAAAAAAACATGTTCCAAGAAAATCCTACCATTTAGATTGCTTGAGTTTAATTTTTTGGTGAGTGGCTTTTCAGATATACTGCTATTTTTATATTGTAAAAATAAAAAATGATCACACTACAGTAAGACCTTATCTGTCCTGCCACCTTGCCTTTTCAAAGGACAGCTGAGAACCTAAAAATAAATAAAAAGACCTCGGGACCAGCAAAATTAGTCACCAAATCCCTGCACTAAACCACCTGTGATCTACTTAAAAACTAGTTCTAGGGTCTTCACATAACTGACTAAATCTTCCATTGTTTATAATGTTTATAAACTAGGTTATCAAATTTCCAGACTGAGATTAGAAAGGGGGAGAGACTGCAAGGGGCAGGTAGAAATTACAAAAAATCCCTGAAAGTGAGGAGCGTGTAACAAGCAACAGAAGAATTTTAAATGCCAAGATCCTGGAGAATTCCCTGGCACTCCAGTGGACAGAACTCTTGCATTTTCACTGATGTGGGCCTGGGGTTGGAGTCCTTGTTCAGAAACTAAACATCCCACAAGTTGTGCAGCTCAGCCAAAAAAAGAGGAAAAAAAAACTGCCCAGAGCCTTTATTTTTCCACGAATACTTGAGCTACCTTGTGCCAAGATGAATGGGCTTTGTTTAGTGACATAACAAAGTTCAGTCTAGTTTTGGACATTTGATGAAGAGGCCTACACATCTTTCTCTAGAGCTGGAGTCAGCAAACCTTTCTGCAAAGAGGCAGATAATATTTATTTTAGACTTTTTGAGCCACATAGGGTCTAAGGTCACATAGCCAGCCCCCCCCCCACCTTATTTTTAACATGTACAGAATATAAAAAACTACACCTTACAAACAGCCTGCAGGCCATAGTTTGCCAACTGCTGTCTAGAGCATTGCTGTCCGACAGCTCACTCTAGTGATTGATGTTATTAGTCATGACTCTTCAAGAGAAGGGAATATGGTAATCATTAAATTGTATATAAAAATGGGGCATGAGTTTTACTTTAGGTAAAAGTAAAGAGTTCCATCAAATATATTTAAAATGTAGTTAGTACACAAAGGACTAAACCTTGAGACATCTGAAATAATTCATTCTTTAGAAAATCCATCTAGCTGAAATTTTACCATACTTCTATAGGGGAAGTAACAGAAGAGAAGGAAAGCTGAACAATTTCCCCATGCACTCAACCTGAGTAAGAATATCAGGGTTAAAATTCAGAGCCCCCTCCTTATTAAACTAAGTAGAGCTTTCTGTGAAGCTTGACTATTACACATTAAACATAATTATAGTTACTTTCTAAAATGAATAGTCTTCAAACTTTGGGGAGGGGAGGGTCTCAAATGCCCATGTTAGCATCTGTCAGGATTTAAAAGCTTATTTCAGAGCTAGAGAAATTTAGAGATTATTTATCCCAGTCCTTCACTGTACTTATAGGTGAACTCTTACATTGTGGAAAATCTTTGATCTCTCTTCTCTTAACGTTTTCTTTTCTTTATAAGATACCCAGATTTCGAGTCTTCACATGAATCACTAGTAAATTTCCCAGGCGGTGCTGGTGGTAAAGAACCTGCCTTCCAGTGCAAGAGATGTAAGAGATGAGGGTTCAGCCCCTGGGTCAGGAAGATCCTCTGGAGGAGGGCATGGCAACCCAGTCCAGTATTCTTGCCTGGAGAAGCCCATGGATGGAGAAGCCCATGGACAGAGAAGCCTGCCGGCTATAGTCCATGGGGTCACAAAATGTCTGACAAATAAGTCTCAAGTGACTTAGCGCGAGCATGCACATGCACATACACATACACTCTCCCACAATTTTTCTAACAAGCTTCCCATGGTTTCTGATTATTGCTACCTCTGAAGATCTTTACAGAATACCTCAGTATAGGATTTTTATTTAAAAGCCTGCATCTGTAATAAACTTGGGTCCAACTTTGCTTGTATTATTTTTCTATCCCTTCCATACAAATTACCAAAAACCTAATGACTTAAACAATACAAACTGAATACTGATAATTCTAAAAGTCCAGAAGTCTGATACAGGTCTAACTGGGCTAAAATCAAGTCTTTTGTAAAACTGCATTCCTTTATGGAGGCTCTAAGGGAAATCTGTTTTCTTGCCTTTTCTAGCTTCTAGAGGCTGCTCACATTCTGGCTTATGGCCTCTTCAATTCAGCAACTGGCTCAGTCACTCAGTCATGTCTGACTCTTTGCGACCCCATGGACTGCAGCACACCAGGCTTTCCTGCCCATTGCCAGCTCCCAAACCTTGTCCATTGAGTTGGTGATGCCATCCAGCCATCTCATCCTCTGTTGTCCCTTTCTCCTCCTGCCTTCAATCTTGCCCAGCATCAGGGTCTTTTCCAATGAGTTAGTTCTTCGCATCAGGTAGCCAAAGTATTGGAGTTTCAGCTTCAGCATCAGTCCTTCCAGTGAATATTCAGGACTGATTTCCTTTAGGATTAACTGGTTGGGTCTCCTTGAAGACTCTCAAGAGTCTTCTCCAACACTACACTTCAAAAGCATCAATTCTTCGGTGCTCAGCTTTCTTTATGTCCAGCTCTCACATCCATATAAGACTACTGGAAAAACCATTGCTTTGACCAGACGGACCTTTGTTGGCAAAGTAATGTCTCTGCTTTTTAATATGCTGTCTATGCTGGTGGTCATAGTTTTTCTTCCAAGGAGCAAGCGTCTCTTAATTTCATGGCTGCAATCACCATCTGCAGTGATTTTGGAGCCCCCCAAAATAAAAGTCTCTCACTGTTTCCATTGTTTCCCCATCCATGTCCAAATCGAGTGAAGTCCTTCTCACATAGCGTCACTCTCACACTCACTCTTCTGCCTCCATCTTCTGCATTTTAAGTACCCTTGTGATTTCATTGGGCCCAAATGGGTAATTCAGAATAATCTACTTATTTTAAGGTAGCTTATTAGCAGCCTTAATTCCCCCTTGCCATATAACATAACATATTCACAAGTCCTGGGGATTAGGATGTAGACATTCTTCAGGTGGGGGTGGGACATAGTTCTGCCTACCACAGTGGTTAAAGTCAAAAAATCTTATAATACTTAGAGCTTGGAGAACCACTGAAGCCTATCAGTCCATCCTCCACATTTTACAGATGAGGTAATTAAGAGAGGTTAGGTGACTCACCCCAAATCATAGAGCCCAGTGGGAACCCAGGTTTCTCAACCTTTATCTTTCCATTATATCATTGTATCACTAACTCTGGCACATATTTATTGCCCTTTTCATCTACAGTTCATTTAAGGGCTTATAATCTGTGCATTCATTAAGTGTTTACTTTGTAAGTTGGCAAGGAATAACAACTAAAGATTTATCATTTTCAGGTCTAAAGATAGGATCTCCATTACTGTTTCTGTCTAAGCTTAACCATAACCAACCTGGACACCCATGCCTATACTGTAGAATCACTTTAGAAATGAAACTACTTCAGTAACTAAGCCCTCTTGGATAGTATCCAAGTCTAACTCACTTTATATATTACATTACTGTGTGCCAGACACTGCTAATGCAATCATTGAGCAGCTTTTTTCATTTCTAATTTCAGTCCACTATGAATAGTAAGCTCTGTGTGCTAATAATTTTTAAAAATCATTAGCTCATCCAACATGGCAAACAATGAACATTATTTACTACCCACCTGTATTTATTTAATTATTCTCTTCCTTCTTGAACAATCATCTCTGAAGTTCCAAATTGCAGAGATAAGAGAAATCAAGTCTGTTCTTGTGGAAAATTAAGTCAGAGCTCCTCCAAAGACAGATTCCCATGAAAACCCAATAACAGATGAATTTTTTTAGACACTAGTTAATCATGCTTCACTAGTCTTTATTTCTTATGACATGTATCACCCATTTTTTTAAATTATTCACTCAGTGAATATTTATTGGTTTTATACCATGTGCCTCTGCACTTCCCTAAGGGCAGAGGATACAGCGATGAAAAACACAGCCAAAGGTCCCAGCCACTTGGAGCTTATATTCTAGTGGCAGAAACAAACAATATCGGTAGAAATATGTAAAATTCACATGCTAAGGAGGAAA